TCGAGAAGGTCTCGCTGGCCGAGGATGACGACAGGTTTGGGCTTGGGTGGCACCATGGCGGGCAGGGGTAGGGAGCATGGGGACACACTGGGGCAGCTCTGGGAGATGGCCAGTGATGGGCACCGTTGGCCTTGCCCAAGGAAGAGCATTATTGGCTATGACCAGGGATGGGTGCTGTTGGCCATGTTCAAGGATGGGTGCCATCATGAGAGTCTAGGGCTGGATGTTGTTGGTTGTGTCCAAGGATGGGTGCTGATGTCCATGGGTGCCAATGTCCATGGGTGCCATGGGTGTCATCCGCCCATGCCACAAGTCCAGAGACTTGTGCCACATACAGGGATCAGTGCAATGAGCCATTCCCAGGGATAGTGCCATTGAGCATGTTGAACGATCCTCCTCCATCCTCCATGCCCCGGGGTGGGCACCATTGACCACCTCCTGAAATGGGTGCAAGCATCCATGGTCAGGAATAGTGCCATTGACCACATCCAAGCATGGGTGCCATTTTCCTTGACTAGGAATAATGTTGTTGACTGTGTCCAAAGACGAGTGCCATTAGCCTTGTCAATTGACACCCCTTGATGGGTTTCAATGTCCATATCAGGGTGTAGCCCTGTTGGCTGTCCCCGGGGTGGGTGACATCAGCCACAGCCGGCGCCCTGACCCAGTTGCACCGCGACAGGCTCATCATCCGCAACGGGAACAACGTGGAGGCGCCACCGGTGTACGACTCGTACGAGGTGGAGTACCTGCCCATTGAGGGGCTGCTCAGCACCGGGCGCCACTTCTTCGTGGAGCTCACCACCGACAGCAGCGGGGCCTCGGCCGGCATGGCGCTGCGCTACGAGGGTAGGGGACGGGGCAGGACGACAGGAGCCCGGGGAGAGGGTCCCCAAACCCACACCGACCTCCACCCCTCTGCCCGCAGCCTTCGAGCGCGGCCACTGCTACGAGCCCTTCGTCAAGTACGGCAACTTCACGGCCAGCGACAGCCGCTACCCTGTGGGCACCACGGTGGAGTTCAGCTGCGACCCCGGCTACACGCTGGAGCAGGGCTCCACCATCATCGAGTGCGTTGATCCCGGCGACCCGCAGTGGAACGAGACGGAGCCGGCGTGCCGCGGTGGGTGGGTGTGTGTGTGCCGCAATGGGTGGGTGCAAAGATGGGTGCGTGCAAAGATGGGTGGGTGCAAAGATGGGTGGCTGCGGCATTCCATGGGTGCTGCAATGGGTGGATGATGCATTGAGTGAGTGCCACGATGGGTGGGTGCTGCATTGGATGGGTGCTGCATCGGGGTGGGTGCAAAGATGGGTGAGTGCTGCATTGGGTGGGTGCAAAGATGGGTGAGTGCTGCATTGGGTGGGTGAGGCATCGGGGGGTGCAAAGATGGGTGGGGGCTGCTGCATCGGGTGGGTGCCGCACTGGGTGGGTGCCGCATTGCGGGGGTGCACTGGGTGCATGCAGCACCGGGGCCGTGCCGCGCGCGCCGTGCTCCCGGCAGCCGTGTGCAGCGGGGAGCTCACGGACGCGGCCGGCGTGGTGCTGTCGCCCAACTGGCCGGAGGCGTACGGCAAGGGCCAGGACTGCATCTGGGGGCTGCACGTGGAGGAGGACAAGCGCGTCATGCTGGACGTCCGCGTGTGAGTGTCCCAGGGCCCTGTGGCAGCGGGGGGGGCTCCGCGGGGC